TCTTCCGTCGTTTTTTAGCAGTTTTTTAGTAGTGTTATCAAGCATCATTTCTTTTTCTACATTATGAGGAAGAATTTGTTGTTCAATAGATTTCCATACCTTGTGAGCCGAGGTTATATTTTCAAGGGAAATCAATATATGTTTCAATGTTCCTTAGCAGTCATGCCTTTAATAGACCATCATTCTTTGCCCAGAGAGTATAATTTGGATTTGACTCAACTTTTCCATCATCTTTGGTGATCTCTTTTGTTGGTTCGCTGCCTTCGATCAAATGACGTGCCATGTCTAAACTTTGAATCAATGGCTCCATTTGAGATCGCCATAGCATGTAATTGAAGTTGTCAAGTTTCAGAGAAATAAGGCTCGAACACTGATGAAGAACTTGTAGAGTAAGTTCAGGTTCAGTGGTGATGATAAGAGCGGAAGGGGCAATGTGGTTAATCTATATAAGGTAAATAAGAAAATATCTGAATATAAATCAAACAACGTAATGTAAATGTTGCAGATTGCTAACAATTGTAGATTTAGGCTATTTTATTTACTATTCAATCATGAAAATTTATGAAAGCTTTGACCATATTCTAATTGAGGTTATATTCAACTTTTATGATATTAATTTTTTCTATCATTAAAAGTGAAACTCTAGAAATTTAATTTTTTCCCCATGATTTCTCATGTTCAATTTGCCTTTTGAATGATAACAAGGAAATACAGCTATCAATCTTTTATTACATAGGAAGTTGTGCCACAAAAAAAAGTTAAATGTATCGGAGCTTGGTTAAATTAAATTTGAACGACATTCATAGATTTTATATAAAAAGTTAGAGCTTCATACAGGTAAGCATATTCTACACTTGAGTAAAACAGTATAAACTGACTATGCGTGCAAGTTCAATCACAGGTTACCAAAGCTGCAACCAATATGTTCTTGGGTGATCATGTCGATTCGATCTTGCATGACAACACTGTTACAATAAGAAGGAACGCGCAACAAGTAGAAGCATGTTTTTGCAGAAGGCAAGTGTTCACAAGACTCCGAGGTTCTAGAGATGCAAAGTCTAGAATCTAAACCGCGAAAACCCTCTAGAGATAGATACCTTATTGAAGTCTAGAAGAAAAGAAGCACCTTTTTCTTCTCAGCAGACATACCCTCAACTCTCTGCATGCAAAGAAAAAAAGAAAATAAATATGTGTTAGAAAGAGCAAGTTAAAGTGTGAAGTTGTAAATACTGTGACGATATATGACTACCTTCTAAAACCAAGATATTTGACGATCATTTTCTTGGTATCCATTGTAATCTGTATGTGCTTTCCAATCTTCGACAGAAATAGCAGTTCCACTCCCATCAAGCATTTTGTCAAGATCTTCAAGATATAAACTCCGAAACATAGAAGTTTTGATACATGAGGTAGTTATATCAGAATAACCTTGAGAAAAAAGAGCTATCTGCGAAGCAATTGATGTGACAAAACGATGTTGAATAAGGAGATTAACATACTCCTTTCTATTCTTACTGTTGACAACAATATCTTTCCCATTGGGACAAAGTTCGACTGTTTTTATGAATCCCAACTCTTCAACATCATAAGCGAAGGTCAAGCTAAGTATATCTTGATCCACCGTCTCAGGATCCATCTCGAGTATCTTCTTCTAGCTACTGTACAAGGAGGGATCTGCATCCCGAATATCCTCCAATGAAATTTCATCTCCAGCCAACTGCAAGAAGAATACACGGTCAAATACAACTCAGATTTGTATTTTATGCATTAATGCCAATGCAATCATTCTACCACAGAAGGTGAAATACTAGAGGTGCAATGGGTCCACCTTAGATGCTGCAAGATCAATATATATTAATGACGAAAGTTAAATTTTTAGACACAAATTTGTGCATAAAGGCGATAAAATTTTACCTGAATTTGGAAAAAACCTTCTTCGATCATTGGGACAAGCAACAAAGAGAGCTTTGTGAGGATTGAACATCTCTCGACATACCAAGAAGAACCACTCTATCAACACTCCGGGCCCAATAGCTTCTTCATGTTTGAATTGCATTAACAGATCGCCTCGCAGCAATGCAGGATCCTGATCTACAATAAACTCAAAAGATATATCCAACAACATGGACCTATCCATGAGCATCTCATATGTCTCTTTCTTGTTTCCACCTCTAGCTTTTTCAAGTAACATCATTGTGAAATCTCTCTGTACTTTGTAATTGGTTACCTCCTTGTGCTCAATGATCCACCGATAATCTTCAAAACTCTTTGCAAACATCTCGATTAGAAAGCATAGTGAAAATTTTCGTTTACTCAACTTTTGCCAAAAGACCTCCGAGTTGTTAAACAACTTAGAAATGTTGTTGAACTCTTTTAGTATAACAAGATACTGAGACAACCACGATACGATAAGCCTGCCATCTTCATTGATCAATCTCAGCTGATCTTCCAATTTCCTTAAGCACCTCTCTATTTTATCTAGCAAATCATATAAAACGATATGTAAGTCAGATAAAATATGATGCAAGCTCTCAATGTACTCTCTGTCATACACTGCTTCATCGCTTGGACCATCGAAAGGTTGTTGCATCAATGCCCTCACCAAGTACGTGTACTCAGTAAAATCACGCACAATGCTCATTAGTGATAACCCCGTAAACTCAATTGATCCCATACTCAATTCTAACTCACGAAATAAATCAGCAACTACAACCTCATGAACAAAAATAAAAGCATCATTCAATGCTAACAATTCATTTGCAACATTCTTCTTGCACCCTGCAATCCCAACAACCTCTATTATTTCCCTTATACTACTCCGACAAAATCTATATAAGAGATCCTCAAGCCCAACAACTCTTCTCAGTAACTTACAGAACACTAATATAAATCGAGCACATTCACTGTATCTCTTCATATGCAAATCAGTACTCATCAATGAATTGATGAATCTACGAATGGATTCATCAGCAACATGTCTCTTAGCATTATCTGGAGACAGGTACAGCATTACCAAGTTTGTAGGAGCAGGCGAGGAAATGAATAAATGTATATGGTTACATGCTTTATCAGTAAACTGTCTCACTAACATTCCCATATCCTTCAAATCCGAAGCACTGCAGACATAATAACTTTCCATAATCGTGGAGATTTTTTAAATTATCTCATTTGTGATTTTCCATGTCTGCAGATGATATGTTCTTGGCATTTTACCAACCAAATGAATAGTTGTACTATTCTGAACGTTCTAAAATGACAATGTCTCCGATTGACAGGAGAGTTGTCTTCTGTTATAGATTAGTCGCTGGTGATCTTCGGGCATACCAGTGATCATTCTGATTTTATTTTTAGTTATTTCTATGGAGTCATTAGAATAACCTCGAATAACTAAGGTTTCTGTTTTGGATAAAGAACGAACGAAGAACTGAATCGGAGTTTGATCAGTTCTCTTTCGTTTGCCGGTGATACCTTGGTTGTTATCACTGTTAATCATATCAGAAAAGTGAAATGAAAAGGTGTAATGAAATGGTGGTGTGGTTTAGTTTAAAACTTAAGCAATCTCTTTATAGGAAAAAAAATGAGAAATTGGTCAAAAGATAATAAATCTATAGGTAACAAATTGTGAATAAAGTCTTATTTCTTTAAATTTTTCTCATAATAGTCAAAATGTTATTTATTAAATTTTCCCCTAAAATTAATGGTCTTATTTTTTATTTTTGTAAGTTTTTTTCCGGTTAATTAAATTTAATGATGAGTTTATCTTAATGAGAAACATTTATTAGTCATTAAAGTGATTAAACTAGTTGTTGAAAAAGAATACAAATGCATAAAGTAATGTAATTTGTCATCAAAGTGGTCAAATTAATATATTTATGAATGGTATACATCATTAAATTTTGTTATTTGTATTTGATATAATGAGATAAGTACATATTACATGAAAATAAATGAATAATTGACTGTCATAATTGTTAGAGCTTATTGTTAAAAGTGAAATAATTACTTCATAAATAGTGAACATAATGAGCAAGTTATTTTTTTAATTTTTTTTTTGTAGTCAAACGTATATATTTGTATGTTAAAAAATATATTTGATTGAGAACTTTTAATTGTCTATTGAAGATTAAAAGGAATAATAATAATAATATACTATCTACTCAAACAAAAACTATGATATATTGTAATGATTAGTTATTTAAATTCATTAAGAATGATTATGCATAGTTCGTTCTTCATGTATTTCATCTCACACTTGTTTCTCTACACTTAAAAAAAGAGTTATTTGATCACAGTGTATCTAGATGGGGTTCACAGAGTTCACGTAAATCTATGTTTTTCTTCCTGAATCATATTTATTAGTATTATATATTCTTTAAAAGATACTTAAATATATATGTCTCGAAGTGTATCTATAGTTGGACCTATAGTTTTAAAAGTTAAATAGTTTCAATGATAAAAGTTAGTAGGTTAAATTTAGGTTATATCTTAGATCCACCTTTTTTTTTTCGAAATTCTGAATAGTTAATTTGATCAACCTTATAAGTTGAAGTAGTTGGTAATTAAATATTTAAAGCTAAATCAACAAGTATAAGAGGAAGAAAGCATCAAATAATGTGTTTGTGAATGAACTTAAGATAGGTATATTTTATTTAATAAAGGAAAGGATATTATAAGAACGACAATCTTATACGTAAAATTCGAATAGTAAGTAATTAATTCATTATCCAAAGATATCTAAAGAATATAGGTTTTACTATTCAAATCATAGTTTGTGAATTATTGAAATCGATAATGCAAGATTCTTTGAGAATGGTAAAGCCAGTGAGAGCGTTGAATGAAAAAGTGTCAAAATTTTGACTTGAGAAATCCAAAAGGACATCTAGAACATGTCAAACATACAAAACAAATGCAAATACCACAATGTTGAAAGAATGAAATAAACTAACAGTAGCAACTAGCAAAAGGTAACAACTAAATTTTGAAAAAAATGTAAACTAGCTAGCTATCTTGAGAATCAATCTTGATGAATGAGATGACTCGTTGTCACTATGAAGAAGTTGGAGGAGACTTGCGATGGTGTTCATGCCAAATTGCACATATGTCACGACTATACCAACATGCCTACTATCTCTCTACAGTATTGGTGGGAAGAAATCATATAGTTGGAGGGGACTCATCGTCTGGAGGCACAGATGACCCAAAATCAATGTTTGGATACACACCAGGAGGTTGTATAGAGAACAATTGACTTGAATCACCTACCACGTCTGCCCACCCATAGTGAGGCTCAGCCCTTAAATCACAAGTAAGACGTTTTAGTTCGATGTATACCAGAACATAAAGGAAAACATGCAAACATAGATGACTCTCACTTACTCGTAGTACGTTTTTTCATCCACAACCATGTCCCAGCTTTCACCAGTTGTGCTCTTGCCATATTTGTGTACCTTGCTGATTGAGAATAAAGGGGCATACCTTGAGTCTTTTTTATATTATCATTTGGGTTTCAAAGATGAAAATGTATCGAGGAAATCAATATGCAACTTGCAAGATATCATAGAACGCGATGAAATATTGAATGTATAGTCATAAAATTACTCATTTCCAAAGTGCTCCTCTCCCCATGTCCTAGATCACCACCCTGGATAATTACAACGAAAAAAATCGGGATTAATATCACATCAATGTTCACAACAATTAATTAGAATTTCAACATTTGTCTAAATTTATTTTTTGAAGTAAATTTTACTATCGTAGATTGATATATAGACTGTTGCAACTCAGTAACCAATTACATTGAGTAGCTAAGCCTAAGCCTCTACATAGCAGATGCATGCTTCACTGTGACCACACCATAACAAAGCCATTATTTCTCTAATAGAAAAGGAACCTCCTGCACAAAACATTTGGTGTGCAGGTGCTTGTAACATACTCCAACCAGAACCAAGCAAATGAATACCTTTTGTATAAAAATTTCTATGACACTCCTTTACCTTTAATCTCCTTCCACGGTTCTCGTCAAATTCTCCGCAAAATATCTCATAATAGGTTTTAGAACTCCATTTTTAGATATTTTAATTATTTTTAGGCAAATCCCCGCACCCATATCCATACATGGATTCATATCCCCGAATCTTAAAAATTAAATCATGAAGGATCTGACCTCTAAATTTGCACCCGTATCGATCACCCTCACCCGAGTCTGAGTAAATTAGTATATTAGAGCTAACTTTGACACCCCCTTCTCAAAGACATAGTTGACATTATATTAGGACCTGCAACCTTGACCAACCCCCCCCCCCCCCCGCCTTCTCATCTCCCGGCAGGGCAAGTGGACGGTGTATCAAACTGTTCCAAATTCCAATAGTATTTAATAGATAAGAGGATCAAACTAAATCTAAAATATGTCCATACTTTTATTATACCGGATATCATATACATTAACATTTATCACTTATTCCCATTAAAAACCTAAACATGCACGTGCCTTAAACCAGATTTTCTTTCAGTTCCTAGTTCAAAAAAGGGCTTTTGAAACTTCCTTATTAGGAATCCTATTAAATAAATATATTACGATTTTAAAGAGTATGCATCCACCAAGATTTAGATAATGAAAAATTACTCATCATACACCTAATCATAATTGATCATGAGTGTTTAGTTATATCTTTTTGCAATATCTTAGCTAAATTTGAATCGAAACATATGAAAGTAGTTAATAAACATTTCTTCTCAAATCAAGTTTTACGCTTAAGACAGTATATGGGTGTGTTTTTTCCAATTTTCTCATATTTGGTTGGGTTAAATGTTTTTCAAATCAACTCATTTTCCTCAAATTTAAGGAAAATGACCTCCCTTCAAAACTTAAGGAAAACATTTTCCAAAACTCTCTTCTAACTTCAAATTACAATTACTTTTTTTGTTGAAAAAATCAATTTATTTTGTCCCTATCCTCAAATCAGCCCTTCCCCCAAAGAAAAAATAATAATTTTAAAGCTTGTTTTTAAATTCAATTTTTTTACCCCACCCTCACCCTTACCCCCACCCCCTACCAAAAAAAATATTAAAAATTGTTTTTAAAAGATATTTCTAATTTCAATTTTTTATTTTTTTAACCCCCAACCCAT